TTTTAGCAATGGCTTTAATGAAACATTTAGGAAGGAATCCATGCCTATGTAAACACGTCCAATAACATCTAGTTGCCAAGATAAAGCCTTCGAACATCCAAGCCCCCCAGTGGCACAGTAAGTCTGCGGACTTACAACGCTAGAATCCGGGTTTAGATTCCCGTGATGGGCAGAGCACAGATAGCCCATTGCGTAGTTTTGTGCTTAATTACAAATAAACAATCGAGCATCCAAATTCGATAAAAATAACTGTAACTGCATCATTCCATATTTTTCGCGAATAAAAAACAACACTAACACCTACAAAGGTTCATTAAATAAAAATATTAAACTGTCCTTATTTCCTAAGTCAAACTCATGTTATTAAAAAAATAAATCGCATTAAATACATAGACATTATTGAAATAAATTAATATTTTATTATTATTAATGTACTTGTTACATATTATTGCACATTAGGGGAGACAATTAATGCAATATTTGCACGTACCTCAGTTATATCACATTCAGACGAAACATTATTATGTTTCCTCTGGAGCTCATTTATCATAGTGTATAAAATAATGCTTAAATGATTACAGTAACTTATGATAAAACATAGCACCATATTTTCGAAACATAGATATGCTCAATGTTGTGTTTTTGGCCGTTGAAAATGTACATTAAGTCGTGTGTTTTGAATTTGAGTTAGATTTAAAACAAATCAAGTCTATGAAAATGTTTATACCTTTGATAGTCATTTTATGGAGATATTTTCTTTGTTTCTAATAATGTGCATTATAATCACTGTGTTATGTAATGGCTCCTTATATTCAGCGGCCCGGCATGGCCAGGTGGTTAGGGCGCTTGACTCGCAATATGAGTAGTGCGGGTTCGAATCCCTGTCCCACCAAACATGGCGGTCAAAGACCCCCTAAGATTCAGATATAGCCATCACAATTTTCTGAACTACTGACAAAAGAAAAGACAGTCAATCATCAGCACTCGTCACTACAAAAGCTTTACCCATACACTTTGAACTTAATTACAGGATTGACTGTTAGTTTTATAATGTGTCTACTTCTGAAAATGTTGAGCGTGTTTAGCGGTATCACGTTTAAAACCTGCCTCTCGCTGGGACAGCGGTAAGTCTCCGGATTTACAACGCTAAAATCAGGGTTTCGATTCTCCTCGGTGGACACAGCAGATAGCCAGACGAGGCTTTGTTATAAGAAAACACACTTCGAAAGCCCTGGACTCTTCGATCCGCAGCCGGACACGCTTATTCACTAGGCCACACATAAGAAAATTAATCTTGGAAACGGTTTTGTTTTGTATGTAAAAATAAGACTGTTTCATGCTTGTACATAGTAGCTAACAGTTTGATTTCATCTTAAAGTTTTGAACAATGAGTTAATTCAGAATAGTGATTTTATTTTTGTGTATTACACAAAATACAAAAGAGCTTTACGTTACGGCTTATAAGATGCTATTCGCTTTACCTCCTTAGATTTGTGCACAAGCCCAAGTCAAATAAACACTTATTAGAATAGGAAGCGCGATGATGTGCCAAATTTCAGTTAGAAATTTGTTAAATGCTAGCAGTTCTGTGTTAAACATCTTAATATGATATTACACCTGCTATGTATTTTTGTTTATCAATAAACTGTCGTATTTATAATATCAAAGTGTTTCAAATAATAAATTATATAAAATATATTGAATTTCACGTTTTGTTTATGAACATTGTTTGTATGTTTGTTTTTGAATTGCGCGCAAAGCTACACGAGGGCTATCTGCGCTAACCGTCCCTAATCTAGCAGTGTAAGACTAGAGGGAAGGCAACTAGTTATCACCACCCACCGTCAACTCTTGGGCTACTCTTTTACCAACGAATAGTGGGATTGACCGTCACATTATAACGTCTAACCTTTTAGTCCGTGCGCATAACATATCATTCAGGATTCAAGTTATTTTACGTGCAATTACAAAGATGACATTCAGTTCTGAAATGTATGTTATGAAACATTAACTTGTAAAATTTAGTAACTAACTAACGATAACAATTTGCCCCAACAAGAACAGCTATTGTTACAAATCTAGTTGTTGCTTTGGAAGAATCTTGAAAACCACCTAAACTATGAAAATACATCGCACTAAGAAAGGGTGCCTTATTAGAAAGGAGAAACACGTGGACAACAAGACGTTGGATAATCCAGGCCTGGATGAATACTATATCCAAGAGGACAACAAGACGTTGGATAATCCAGGCCTGGATGAATACTATATCCAAGAGGACAACAAGACGTTGG